AGATTAGTGATAAACCAGATAACACTTGAGAGGACTTGTAAGCGGTTTAAAAGTATCCGGCTGGTAAGGTTTTGCTAACTTGATCGGATATTGGTAAGTGTGCGGTTTAGGAATCCGCTTGGTAAGTGAGCGGTATCTGTCTTGAACGGTGTTTGACTTTTGAACGGTGATTGACTTTTGATCGATTTCATATATTTTGACTTTGATTGTTACAAGTGTTTGAATTCTTTGATCGATTTAATAAGTTTGACTTTTTGATCGGTGTAATATTTTTGACTTTTTGATCGATTTAGTAAGTTTGACTTGTTGATCGATTCATCTTTGACCGGATTTATACTTGTGCGGTTTATGTTCATATGTGCGATTTATACTTGTGCGATTTATACTTGTGCGGTTTATGTTCATATGTTGACCGGATTTCTAATTCGGATAACGTGTTAGTTTTGTCCATCTCTTTGACCGGACTTGTAAACCGGACAACGTGTGCGGATTGCTAATTCGGACAAATATTTTTGTGCTTATGTCTAAGTGTTGAATGTGTGCTTATTACAGTTTACTTTTTATCAGATATATTTTTGTAAACTGATATTTTAAATTCAAACTTTGAACTGCAGTCGATCCTAATTTTCATACAAACTACAAAGATGAGTTCAAAAGAAGCGATGGCTATTGGTACTGATACCAAACCACCAGTACTTTTTAGAGGAGATTACAATCAATGGAGAGATAGATTCTTGAATTTTATTGAAAGATTGAAAGAAGAAGAACATATTATGGAATCTCTATTAAAAGGTCCAGCTGAATTCTTTGTAGAGTCATATTCTGATAATGTACTTGGCGTTCCTGCACAGAAAGTACGTATAACAAAAGATCAATATGATCCTCAACAAAAAGAGAGAGCACATGCTGACGTGCTTTGCAAATCGTACATGATGCAAGCACTGACCAATGATATCTATACCAATATTGATAGCTACAAATCATCAGGTCACAGCATGTGGATTCAAATAGAGAAAATGATGATGGGCTCTATAGTTGGAACTCAACTGAAGATCACTAACTGCATTTTTGCGTATGAGGAATTCAAGGCTAGAGAGGGAGAAAGCCTTGATAATGTGTATAACCGTCTTGCCAGGCTGCTGAATGAGCTTATGAAGAACAGTATCTCCGAAACTACTATCGAGATAAATGTTAAGTTCCTTAACAATCTTCAACCAGAGTGGAAAACATTTGCAAATAATATCATATTCAACAAACAGTTATCTGATATTGATATACATGAAATATATGAAACTCTGAAAYAGAATGAACAAGATGTTTTGGAGATCYGTAAATCTAAGAAGAAGGAAAAGGATGTTTCTGATCCCTTAGCTCTTATAACTGAGAAAAAGGAAAAGAAGTATAAAAGCAGAGCTGGAAAGAAGGTTGTTGAAGTTAGTTCGTCAAGCGAATCTGAGCAAGAAGACAGTAACADCTCAGAATCTGATTCTGAAGTAAAGCAAGCTATGGCAATGCTGACCAAAGYTTTCARRAAGTATAAGTTCATCAAACGGCCACACTCGAATAATCAACGATTCTCATCCRRATCAAAGTATGACTACAAGGACAAGTTCGGAGAGAAGAAGAAATACGAAGAGAAAAGATTCGAGAAGAAGTACGAGCGAAAGCCAGAAGAAGGAAAGAAATATAGCAAAGCAGTAGCTGATGAGCATACAAAATGTTTTAACTGTGGCAAGTTAGGTCATTTTGCTATTGATTGTAAGAAGCCGGTAAACCGAGATTCCAACTATTACATGAATAAATTTCTTCTGTCCAAGCAAAAAGAAGTTAGCAAAGCTCTGATGGCCGAGGATGAGCATTGGTTAAATCTTACTGATGAAGAAGAAGAGGCTGAGGCTGTTGCACACATGTGCTTGATGGCTAACACTGAAAGTGCATTAACTGGAGAAGATTCTCAGATGAATCTATGAAGATCTGGACTCCACACTATGTATGTTCAAAGTAGGGTTTACCTACTGTTGAAGATATTTTTGCATACTTAACTTGTTCTAAATGATTGGAGGATCAAAACTCCTCCTTTTTACACAATTCCAGTTGGAAAAGAACCATAACTCAACAAAGTACATTTTAAAAGAAAAATCATAGCATTTGGACTTTTATTTTAGAAGATACGGACGACACAATTGCTAGTAAATAATCTGTCAGTTCCAAAATGCTACTTTTAATGGTTAAATTCCACATGCAATGTGGTTTTACCCCATTTCCTTGAGTTCTAAGTTTGTAGATCATAGATTATCACCATTTTGAGGATATTTTTCATGTCTTTGATGAATAATCTCCCATCTTAGATTCTCCAAACAATTTGAGCTCAAAAAGAAGAAAGAAATGTGTAAAAAAATGAGAAATAATGTTGAAAAATACAAAGACAATGTAACTAATCTATTACCTTTTGCTTGCTACTACTTGAAGACTTGAATGTTCTTAAAGAATTATGGAATTTAAGGATGTTTGAAGGGTGGATTCGGCTGGAGTGGAAGAGGAAGAGTCTAGTGAGAGAAGGGAGTAATGCGAATGAAGGTGAAAGTGAGAGATTTCAAAAGAAGTGGGGTTTTTATTTGTGGACTTAATGAGAATAAAGGGGCCGGCCCTTTTAAGGCCCAATCCAACTCATTGTTATTTTTTTTTATAAATAAATCCCTTTAAATGTTAGCATAAATACAATTTGTCAAATACTGATAAAAATATCAGTATTAGATCAAAATTACAAATTTTTGTAAAATTATTTGGACATTCAAATGAGATTTTTATATCTTTATTTTGGATTTTATAATATCAACTTAATTATGTTTGGAGAATTTATAATGTATTTGGCATTACATAAGTTAACTTTATCAGCTACCTATCGGAACAAGGTTTTATGAACTATAATTTGGGAACTAAGCCAGATGAATTCTAATCAACATGACTAGACCCTAATAAAATATATTTCTAAATATAGAAACCCTATAAAGATGCTAACCTAACGCTCCAAAAATGACGGATGTCACAGGTTTACAGAGAGATGAATAAGAGGCTCCTTTGGTTAGCCCGAGTTGTCAAGTCATGGGTGATGCATCATCAAAGGACACATTGATGCTTTCAATGATGATTTTGGTCCTTCTGATGAAAACACTGTAGGCCTTGGCGGATTGAGAGTACCCCAGAATTATGCCTTTATCAACCTTCTTGTCAAATTTTCTAAGATACTCCCTGTCGTTGAGTACAAAGCATTTGCACCCAAAGACATGGAAATATTTGACATTTGGACGTCTTTGGTTGATGAGTTCATAGGGGGTCTTCTGGTGCCTCTTGTTGATGATTGATCTATTCTGGGTGAAGCAGGCAGTAGAGATTGCTTCAGACCAAAAGAAAATGGGTAGCTCTGATAAAGCAAGCATTGTCCTTGTTGCTTCTACAAGGTTTCTATTCCGTCGCTCAACGACTCCATTTTGTTGTGGAGTTCTGGCTGCTGAAAAGTTCTGAGATATACCTTCATTGATGAGATATTCATCAATTTTAGCATTCTTGAATTCTGTTCCATTGTCACTTCTAACTTTGATGAGTTTGCGTTGTAGAAGAACTTGGAGCTTTTTCATCACCGCAATGAGGAGTTCAGGAGCGTCTGTTTTCTTCTTGACAAATTCAACCCATGTATATCTTGAGTATTTATGAACAAGTACTAGAATGTACTTCTTCCAGAGAGGCTTTCAGTTGCGATGGGCCCACAGAGGTCGATGTGGAGCATATCCATCGGTTTGGAGCACGAGGTTTCTGACTTGGACTTGTGAGAAGCCCGCTTTAATTTTCCCATCTCACAGGCCGAGCATAGGTGGTCTTTTTCAAAATTGAGATCAGGTATCCCCTTGACCAACTTTTGTTTGGCTAACTTATTCACGACTTCAAAATTCAGATGAGGGAATTTTTGATGCCATAGCCAATTCTCCTCACTCCTACGGGAGACAAGGCATAGAGTGTCTTGACCCGCAGAAGAATGGAAATCCAAAAGATAGAGATTTCCTTCTCTCTTGGTCTTGATGGTGGTTTGACTGGGTTTTGTTTTGATGATGTTAGACCCCATCTTGTAAAAGTGTAAGTATGAAGCCTCTTACTCTAGTCTGTAGGACTTAGTCTTATGAAGTTGTCTGGACTAAGAGCTCTCATGCAGAAGAGATCAAGAGACACAGCTCTTCATCAAAGAGCCAAGCGTCTCATATACAGAGCCCGCGCTCTATTCCGTGGAAGATCAAGCCTTAAGCGCTAAAAATCTTAAGTGTTTGATACAAAGCTACACTCTAGACACAGAGCCTCTGCATAGTACATGCAGAGCCTCTGGGTCTCCTACCTCCAAGGAAAGCGCGCTTAGTTCAAACATTCTCGCAAGCGTCAAACAGAATCAAGGCGGCTTGACTTAGTGCGCTCCACTATTCAAGGGTCGTTAACGATAAGGATGCGGAATAAGCGCAAAGATTCAAGCCAAGATTCTAGCAAATTATGTTTGGCTTAGGCGTATATAAGGAGGCATCCTCCTCAGGTTACAATTACCTAAAAGTGCCACTTAGACTATAGCCAAACCTTGTGGGAATACAAATTAGATTGAGAGAGTTTCTTATTGTTTTCCTCTCATCTAATAAAAGCATCCGACATATTCAAAGTCATATTGTGTTCTTATCTTTACTGAATACTACGTTAACCCTTTCAGTTACACTGTTTTTATCCCATTCTTATTCATTCAACTATGTTTCCTGATATTAAGAGAATCTGGGTTCCAACAATTGGAATCAGAGCCTGCTAATCATATTAATTGATCAGTCGATCGATATCCAACATGATACTTCTCTTAATTTTTGGTTATTCGTTTTAAAAACATATTTCACTATAATCCTTGATCTGTTTTAAAAATGTTTGCTTTGTGTATTCTTGAAATCTGTCAAAACTCGACTTCACACTTTCAAGTCAAATTTCTTTTTCAAATCTTTTCAGCGAAATGACTAATCAATCGTGGAACTCCATGTACAGTGCTGGTTCCCCTACAAAACCTTCTATTCTCATTAGGGAAGAATATCCCCAATGGAAGATCAGGGTGATCAATTTTTATGAAGGTCTCGACCTTGAACTTTATGAATCTATTTTGAATGGCTTATTGGTACCAACTACTTTAATCCCCAAAATTCCTGCTACTGGCGAAACGGTCGAAGTACCTGCCAGACAAGTTCCCAAACTCCGTAGAGATTAGTACGATGAGGACAAAAGAAGAGTGGAAGTGGACCAAAAAGCCAAGAGGCTTTTAATCATGGCCCTTCCCAATGAGATTTTTCAATTTATGGATGCCTGTGATTCTGCCAAAGATCTATGGGATCAGTTGGAAAATCTGTTGGAAGGTGGGATTAAGATAAAGAAGAACCGTCGTGCTCAGTGTTTGAATGAGTACAACAGTTTCCATCCTCTTCCAGATGAGTCTCTCGAGCAGACTTATCACAGATTCAACACTCTAATCAAGAAATACAGGAAATGTGATGTGATCAAAACTCAATAGGAGAACAACATGCTCTTCTTGAAAAGATTGAATGCAGAATGGGGGAACTTGTCCATGTCTCTTCAAGAAAACCAAGACCTGGAGCAGTGGAGTCTTCATGACGTGTACGACACCTTGCAAACACAGGAGCAAGAGGTGCAGAAGGCGAAGGTCGCTATGGGTGGACCATTAGCTCTTGTGTCTGACTCTAAAGAGACTGGGTCTAGTCAACAACATAGAGAGAGAAGATCGAAAGAGGAGAAGAGAAGAGGGAAGACGGCTCTTGTTGTGGAGAGCGACGATGAAGACAGAGTTTCAGGCTCTGAAGATGATGACATCAGTGCTTTTGCACATTCCTTGGATTTAATCACCAAGGAATTTCAAAGACAATTTGGGAAAAAGTCTTCGACAAGAGAGGAAGTCGAAGCAAAAAGAATAGAAGAAGAGGCTTCAAAGGAAGGAACCCTCCTTTTGTGCAAAACAAGAAGAAGGAAGAGAAGTCAGAACAGAAGAAGTATGCTGTTAGATGCTTCAGATGTGGGAAGATGGACCACTACTCCAAAGAGTGTAAAGGCCCTTTGGTGAAAGATGAACTGTACTATAAAAATAAGTACAAGTATAATCGATCCCAAAGGAGTCTTATAGTTGAGCAAGAGAACTGGGTCTCTGACTTCTCGTCTGAAGAAGAAGACCAAGCTCTGTTGATCCCAGATCTTTCAATTACACTAATAATCTAGTTATGAATAACTAAATTATAGTGATTTTACAAAGAAAGTTATGAAGTCTCAAAGATAAAATAAGAACATTCAAGAACGACTTTGAGCTTCAAAGGTTTTACTTTATAAATAAAACGTAAAGAGTAAAAGCCATTCTCACATACGCACATATATATTGTTTACAATAGACCTAGTCGTCTATTTATACTAGATGGCTAATGCTAAGATAACTATCTATTGCTACTTTCTTGCAAATAGTCTAGCTAATAGATAAAGTTTATCTTTTACATGGATAATCATTATAAACAAGATAAACTATAATTTCAACTGTTGATTCGTCATCTCCAGCTGTCATTATCTATGTGGTGATTTCATCCTTATCTTCAAGTCTTCATTGCATGCCTGGATGAATACTTAGAAAATCTTCTAAGTGTTAGTCTGTCCATCGTATCGATGAGAATACTTTCCATCGCATCGATGAGAATATTTTCCATCGCATCATCCATCGGTCTGCTGGTTGAACTTCGTCCATCGGTCCAATGGTTGGTCTTTCCATCGATGCTCTTGATAGTCTATCCATCGATCCAGACTTAGTCAATTCTACCTTGATGTTTCCATTGGTCTTCTGGTTCTTCATCACTTATTGTTTTTCATTACTTTTTACATTTTGCATTATGGGTTCTAACAATCTCACCCTAAGTAA